GGGGCGTGCAACAACGACAAAAACAAGATTCCTGTCACCTCAACGTATTTAAAAATTATAAGAACCCCCCAACTGCCCTCAAAGTGTTTTTAAGTCCGACATTAATAAGCAATTAACCAATTATGAAGGACTAAAATGAAGTTATGAAAAATTTGCATGCGAGAGTAAAAGGGATCGTAAAATTATAAAATAATATTTTTGCATTAAATTATAAATTGTGTTTGTTTTGTAAATTATTGCTTTGCATTTTAAATTATAAAACGATATATTCGTAAGTGACATGGTATATGAAATTGTGATTATAAGTTACTTTTTAGACAAGATGAACTTTTGAAGAACAAAAGGAAATTACAACAATGTTAATAACTAATCATTGTTATAATGAAACGCTTACATATTTTAATGTTATTGAATCAACAAAGGTATCTTGTCTAATTTTTCCCCTTTCTTTTTTGTGATACTTATTGAAGCTAAAGATTTGTTTTGATGAAATGAGCATTCCTACCAACCATGTCAGAACATATATTGTTCATGAATTTTAAAGTACAAATTTCTAGTCCTGCAACTTTTAATAAATTTTAGATAACACTTTTTTCTACGCATAATGGTTTGTCTTGTTGAAAATTCAAATGTTTCCATTCTAGGTTTTTACATTGGAGTTGGCTTTTTTGCAAATACTATAGTGCATGTCATTATGTATTTTTATTATGGACTTGCCGCCTGTGGCTCAAGCGTTCGAAAGTATCTGTGGTGGAAAAAATATTTAACTCTTGTACAAATAGTATGTATAGTTTGCATTTATTATACGAACATAAGAAAATTTGTTTTATTTGTATATATACGGGAAATGTCTGTGTGTTTTTTACATTTAATTCATCATTTGATCAATTGTGGGCATCATCTAGTTTGCTTCAGATTCTCGTTGCTTATGTTGAAACAAACATTATTACTGGTACCATTACATGCATGTTTACGTACGGTTGAAGCAGATGTATTTCTTGTAGTATTAAGTATATATATTCATTAATAATTAAAATTCAATTTGTCCTTGGATAAAATTTAAAAAAAATACAACAGATACTAGGGGTTTTTGGTGTTCTTTCAACAGAAGAATATATGCTTAGGTTTAATATCTCATATGTTTAATATTCTTGAACTTACTACGAAATATCAAATTTATATTATTAATTTACAACACAAAATAGTAATTAAATTTTCTTGTTTTCTAGCTTTGATTAAGAGCTATGAAATAAGAACTAACAAAAGGAAATTGAAACTGGATATAATGTATTTTGGTATTAAAGTGATCTTTTTTAGTGATCGCTGCAGTCGTTTAAGTAAATGTTGGCTGGGTATTTTTAAAATCCACATTTTATTTGGCCCAAACAGAACAGAAGTAGCAACAGACAAAGCAAGGTATTAACATGCGCGGTTTGCATTACTTTCACAAAAACATCCTTCATTTACTCAAGAGATTTCAATCTTTTATAATTTTGCTAATTTTGGAAGCTGTTACAATCACATGGTTTCCAATAAAGGCTTTTTGTTTCGTCCGAATACGCGAGTGATGCAAGATTCCATCAATCTGATTAAAAAACGCTAGCCTTCTGATTTATTATCAGTTAAGGTTGTGGTTATTTCCCGAAAAGAGGGTAAGAAAAATTAATTATGGTGGGGATCAATGCCATATTATGGATTGAAAATTTAAGTGAGTTATTACACTCATCAACATATACATGTATATATTTGGATTTAAATTCAATACTATAAAATTACCTCATTGGGAAAGTAATGCATATATTTCTATATTCAGAAATGCTATAATTAATTACATACAATGCAACAAATTTTTTGTTTCAGAAAAATCAGAAAGAATATAAAAACTGCAATCATTTCATTAAATACTGTTTAACCCTTTATCTACCGCATTATTGTTTACTGCAAATTTTTTTATGCAATATTTTTTTTAAATCACTGTATTGAAAATTAAGGGATGTGCATAAATAAAAAACCCAAGTTTGGGAAATTTAATTTGTTAGAGCAAATTCATTAAATTGGTACTTTAAAGTACCGTCAGTCTGCAAAGGTCTCAAATATTTTCATAATACGAAAAGACCGAATGACTTTTTAAAAGTAGTTTTAACTCTCAAAAATTCTAAATATAACCATAAAATACTAATATTTTACTGCACAAAATAATTATTTTGAAAATTATAAAATTTTAAAAATCTAATTACTTTTTTTACATCTAAAATCAAGTTTTGCACATAAGCGTAATTTGGGGATATTTAAAGAAACAGTTTTTCTTTTCATTAATACACAAAAATTCATTACACGTTATGCATTTTGAGTGAGGTTTTGATTGAATGCTTCTTAAAGTATTGTATCCTGGGGTAGGAAATGCTGTATTTTTTTTTCTGAGCAGAAATTATTGCACTTTGAGTCTTGTTCAGTCTCTTGATCGTCATCAAAATCGTCTAACAAAAATTCCAGCAGATAATTTGCTGGAACTTCTTCATCTGAAAAATCATCTGTTAGTAAATCATTGATTTCAGATGGTAGGTAGACACTCTAAGAAAAGGAATTAATAATAATAATAATAGCACTTTGAAAATCTCCTATATTATTGTTAAATCTCAGTTACACATAAAGAAACTAAAACGTTGCTAATTTTTAAAATAAGAATAGTTATTTCATTTAATTGCGTGGCAAAAAAACAAGCTCAGATTCAATGTTCTGACGTTTTGAATACATTAAAATAAAACGTTAAAAAAAACAAAATAAATAAGTTAAGTTAAAAGAAATACCCCCAAAATTATAAGTCTATTGCATTATAGTGATGTATCTACAACACAACAAAAAACATTAAAAAGCCACACGTACGAAACAAAAAACCAAGTTCTCCTCCAACACCCAGTGTGTTGTCGGTACTTTTATGTACCACAAAGTTATTTAACTATAAAATTATTTATATACACTGTTCATTTAAAGTAGTCAAATCATTTTTAAGGCCTTCCTTAACATATAAAAAAATGACTCTTAACTTTTGACATTAGCTACGTTTACGGAACAAAAATGACGATCTTCGCAATCCGATCTAAACGTCAGTTTGTAAGCGCAACTTCTGCTTGAAAACTATTCGCTTTACCCGCTAAAATACTCATCATAGAGCCCGTGTTACTATATATCTTGAAATATTGTATTTAAAAGAATATTTCGTCGGATTATTCATAAAAATGGTTTTTCTATGTAATTTTAAAGTGAGTGGTACTTATAAGTACCGTCGGTAGATAAAGGGTTAATTCAAAAATACCCAATTAATTTTATTAACAGTTATTGCAGTGCTTCTCAATCTTTTAATATCTGTGACCCAATATTCAATCATTTTCATTGCGACCCCGTTCCATACAATAACATTGTATTAAATTCATTAGTACTGGACTTTGACACTAAAGGTACAATACGACTTTAACCTATTAAAACCACCAGCGTATATAAATGTCTCGCTCAACCAAGACGTTGATTGCCCCGGACGTATATATACGTCTTTGCGAAGTAAGTTCTTTTCTATGTATTACTATCCATAAAATTATTCCAAAGGCTTTGCCTTGCAATAAAAGGACCTTGACAATATTTGTGCAATATTTACTTATTTCAGAAGATTTTGCTTATTTATTCCTATTCTCTCCTTCCCCACTCAATACATAGCATACGCATACCTACGAGGAAAACGGTGAAATTGGGGAGCGAGTCGAGTAACTTTTTATCGGCAATTAAGAAACTTTTTATAAACCATATAAAGTATCAGGACAAATGTTGATTTTTGTACGTAATTTTTTATATAACAGGCCCGTAGGGTCACTGGTAATTATTAAACTTGTTTTTATAGTATTGTTAAATTAATTATAAAATACATTTTGCAATACATTTGATACATTTGTTAAGTTTATTATATCTGTGCAAATGTGTATTTTATTTTTTATTATGTCAGAATGTATTTTGTTTGTTTACTTTCAGTAAATTAATAATTGTTTAAAAATAATTTTTTGCTTACGACTTTTTAATATGCTCGCGCCCCTAGGGAGGGGGGCGCCCCACAGTTTGAGAAACGCTGAGTTATTGGAATAAAGAAATTCTAAATAGTATGGATTAAAATTTCTTAGAACACATCAATAGTTTAGTACTATAAATTTGTCATTTTTCATAGATAAATATATTTACCTTCATATTCTAATTTTAAATGAAATTACTTATTCTCTTAGTTTTATTTCAACCGTAGTAATTTTTTTAATATTTAAATACATTTATAATCCTAGTGTCCCTCATGTATATATATATATAGTGATTGTATTTATACACACTATTTAAATTTTTTATTTCTATTTTTTTTTTCATATTTTTGCTAAGTTTCATATTATCCAACCATTCCCATGCTTTAAATTTGTATTTGGATCCACAATCTGGCAATAACTTTTTTATTGTTCTCAGATTTAGTGCAGGACTCTGCAATTTTAAAGTAAGCAGTAAAGCAATTTTAAAGTTTTTCTTTTAATGGCTTCGGATATTTTATCCAATATTTTCACTAGGACTTTGCTCAGTATTATTAACAGAAGGAGGGGGAAGGTTGGCTGGCGAAAAAAAAATGTTGAATCCCATTTTTAAGCAACCTTTTTTATATATTAGATTTGTCCTAAGTAAGCAATGTCTATAATACTACAGCAACCACATTTATATTTTTAATTTTTATATAATTTTTATTTTTATAATTTATAATATTTTTTTTCTAATTCTAATGTTGCTCTTCTCTTGTGTTTTCTATACTGGGATGCATATGAAATACAAGTGGAAGAACAGAAACATACAATACAAACATAAGAATATAGACATTTTTTACAAATGATGATCCCAGCATAGAACAGAAGGGGTGTGCTGCTTTCCATTCGAGATGGGAATCCATAAACGGTGAAAGTCCTACTGCTTTTCCCGAAGAAATACAACCAAGCCTTACTCGGGATTCGAACCCGAACGCACTCGATTATAAGCCGAAGGTCATATCCGCTATACTGGCTCTAAATTCTAACACAATCGAACCTCTATATTGCGAATTTTTCTATATAGCAAACTTTTTCCTGGAACCCTAAACATTTCACGATTTTCTTCGTAAAATAAACTCTCTATAGCGAAGTGCATTTTCTATATAACGAACTTTTTCTTTTGTGATTCAATTTTTTTTCTCCCTATTTATAAAGTATTTCTGAACATTTCAAGTTATCCTCTCTTTAACACATTTTATGGTACATAAATCTTGAACTGATTTTATTAGATCCTAACTCGCCGAAAGTGAAACCTTTAACCACCATTGTCCAGTTCACTAGAAATATCTTCTATATCCCCTTTCACACACAATGGAGTTGTCTTGTGTCCCCGTGTTCTGGTTATAAAATAATGTATGTTTAATGTTACTTGTATAATTTAAATTAGAAAATGTCCTTAAAATTCATTAACTTTAATATAAAATTATTTTCTTAATATTGAAAATACACAATGTACATTCTTCGTGTATTCGAAATTATTTTTTTCTTGTTTTCCTCTGGCACTTTTTCTTCCTCTGTTCTTATTTTATTTCTAATCTAAAACAAACATCTAAAATAAACATATATTATTTTTTTTTTTTTTTAAGAAAAAAGGTTAGAAAAATTACTTTTTTTATTATATAGTGTTTATGAATTTAAAATTTGTTTGTGTGGTTCATAAAATATATTAATAGATGAACTTCTATGTAACGAATTTTTCATATAACGAACTTTTTTCCGTGTTTTAGCGACTTCGCTATATAGAGGTTCGACTGTATTTAGTTTATATTACAATTTCTAATTTTGTATGGTTCAGCTATAATGAGAATTCATGTCTCTATAGTAGAGAATATTAGCAATAAGTATATAATTTTTAATGTATAATATTTTTCTTTAACAGACACAAATCTTTTTCATTGCGGCGTACATGGGTGTAGGATTCCTGACTGGATGCGAAGTGTTTGGTGCGATAGAAAAACTAGTTTTCACTTTTGTATCCGCAAATCTGATCTTATTTGTAAACTTTTATAGAAAATATAAAATGTAGTAAGTAAAATTGAACTTTATTTTTCAATTCCAACTACTAACTCACACTCTCTACATATTTATTTATCTTGGTGGAATTTTCACTCGATAATAAAATACATTTTAAAGTGCTCGATTGAGCTGGAATTTTGTATGCATGATTATTTTGGATGACAATACAGTAATTTTTTATCATAATTAATAAAAATTAATTGATTAAAACTAATTATTCAAAGAATTGCAAATTCAGCCACGTTGGCATCAGTTTTGGCGATTTAGCGACCCTTTTGACGACTTGTGTCAAAACTTTAAAAGATTTTTTTTCTCACGTTTTAAAGCATTCAGTTGAACTGAAATTTTACATACACGATTGTTTTGAATAACAATACGATACTTTAATGAAAATTAATAAATTCAATTACCACTTAATGCTGTGATTATGTCATATGTATATACATATGTACATTAATTGTAACTATTTAATAAAAAGTAGATAAAATAAAAGTTTTCTTTGTTGATATAAGTAGGAATTAACTTAAAAAATTTTGTTTTATATTACACTTGTTAAAAAAAGGATATGTTCTTCTAAAATCATTTAGATTGAGTTTATGCACTTTTTACTTTGTATTTTGTAGAAGTGGTTTTTCTTAATATATCATTGAGAATGTGTTATTTGAAAAACGAGCATTTAATCTCTATTGTAAAAAAGAATTTTAAAATACACATTCAGAGATGATGGAAAATTACAAGAATAATACAAAAATCTGTGGAAACAAAATTAAAATTACACTGCATGGATTTTAATTCAAACAAAATAATCCATAGAGAACAAAAAAAAATTATAAAATCGAAGTTCGTAGAGTTCAACCAAACGTCATAGATGTTTTGCGTACAACATTTCAAAAAACTTTTCCCTCGTTGAAGGATCAATTCCTGGGAATTAATTAATCTTTTAAGGAACTATGCATACTCTTTTACAACAAAAACTGCATTTCCATTTCTTGACATGTACAGCAAGGAAGAGAAGAATGATAAAGTTATTATCACCCAAAGTAGGTGCATATTGTAGGTAATGCAGATCCTAATTTATGAAGAGCAGTTACAGTTACAGTGTTTTCAGAGATTTTGAATTATTCTCTTACAAAACATATTCCTCAGCAAATTTAATGTGTATAATTACGTTATTATAATCTAAAAAAATTAAAAATGTAAATGTAAACCAAGTAAATTTTTCTCTTGCAATCTTAAATTAAATCAAAAGTAACTTGTGGCAAATACAATTTTTTCTAAGAACCGAGAAATGCAATAACATGAATATAGAACATGAATGAATATATTTTGCTCGAAGGAATTCACGTATATCATAGACCAGATGTCGGCAACCTTGTTGCTACAGTGTTCATAATCAGTCTACTGATATGTCTACTGATTAGTTTACTGATGTAATACAAATTTAAATTTTATTATATATTATAATTATGCATCATTTAAGAGAACCAAGGCATCATACACATTTAAAAAATCGATTTTTCAATTTTAATATTAAAGTGCATACTTTTCTGAATCTAAAAATGTACAACACTTATATTTTCGTTGAAAAAATAACCTTAAAATAAGAAACAAGTAATCGACAAAAATGTAAACAAACTTTTACACATGGTTAGTTTTTTCATTTTTTCTTCAAAGCATATTTTTTTGCTTTTAGGTACATTTTATAAAAACAATTGCACTATATAGTTCATATTTATATGCAGGATCCTGTGTATATACTGAATCTATTTTTTAGTTGAATTAGTACATAGTTTTTTAAAACATAGTTTCATGTATGAAAAAGGGGAATTTTTTTTTCAAAATTACAAAGTTTTATAATATTTTTAAAGAATCTATCTTAAAATTTTACAAAAAAAAGGTTCACTATATTTTCTGTATTTCTTTATACAGGTGCGAAAAATATTTCACTTATTTAAGGTATCTGACTAGGTTAGGAACCGTGATTTTAAAAAAAAAAAAACGCATAAATGGATAATTTTCAGGATATTTAGTGTCACTTAGATTAGAATACATATATAAAATTGTTTTAAGGACATTTTGACAAAAAACATTTATTTAAATGCAATATTTTGGCAAAAAAAACTTTTTTTCAAAATGTTATCCTTTTATAAGAAATGCTTCTAAAATAATAATATTTTGCTTATATAAAGTTAAGACTTCTCCAGAGAGTCTGAACTATTTCTTTTGAAAAGTTCACATTATTTTTACAGTTACAATTAATTGAAATAATTTTCGGCGTTTTTTTCTTAAAATTCCTCCCCTCTGTAGTCGTAAAACATAGATAAACCCACTTCTAGGTTATATATTTCAAAAATTCTAGTTGAGCCTCAGTACAGAGGTCTGAGCTATATGCAGACAAAATATTATTATAATAGAAGCATTTTTCACAAAAGGAGAATATTTTGAAAATGTGTCATTCTATGTTCATTCTTTGTCAAAATATTGTACTTCAATAATGTTTTATTGTAATTCTATTAAAACAATTTTATATACATTTTCTAATCTAAGTCACACTAAATATCATAAATATTATACATTTATATGCTTTTGCAAAATCATGGCTCCGAGCGTAGTCGGATACCTTAAGAGATACTTTTTTTTGAAAAATAGTACCTAAACATAAGCATGTATTATGAGATCTCAAAAATTATGTCCAATTTAAATAAAGCAGAAGAAAAAGAATTTAACTAAAAAATTATTTTTGCATTTCTACAGAATGATTAAAATATCCTTATTATAAAAGATCACAATAAAATCTAAGCTCTATTGGAAATTTTTAAAGATATATATCTCACAAACAAAGAGTCTTATTTTTGGCATTTTATTGTTCAAGCACGTCCTGATACACTTAAGAGGGTTCACCCATGTGACCACCTTTTTTTTTAAAGTGTTTTTACGAAATATTTTTTGGTAACCAGTAAAATGATAAAATTTTATGTTTTTTATCATTCATTTATATGCATCTTCAGAGTATGTATATAAATGTTTAGCCAAAAATATCTAATAGAACGTGAGTGATAGCGCTCTGAACACACCCGCCTCGAAATAATGAAGGATCCTTCCTCGACGATTCAAGCTGATAGGCTTATCTGGAATAAAAAAAATTAGTGGCGTTTTAATCTTTATTCTTAAATGCACCTAAGGAATTATGTACAATTGAAAATAGCAAAAATTGGATTTTTCGTAGACCTCTGGAAAAAAGGTTTCGAATTTCACGGGGTTTTTTTGTTATAAAAAGTAGAAATATTTTGAATTTTGGAATGATAGTAGTACGTATATTTATGCTGAATCCACCCTATACATTTGAAGCCAAACCCTTCTTGAGATATGATGGATGAAAGTTTGAAAAACACAGTTTTGAAAAAACGCGTGTAAAGTTTCAAATCCGATTAAAAGTATGAAAATCTTAACTTATATATTGCGCACCGAGGGAACAGCTGTTCTTGTAACACATGCCTCTGTATAACGACTTTGAATTTTTAAAAATTACTTTATTACCGTATTCTAGACATGTTAAGGAAGCAATTTATAAAAAGAAAAATCTTTTTGATTTTCTTAACCCATCATATGGGTTAAGAAAATCAATCCCTTAAAAGATATACAACAAAGATATATATCCCTTAAAAGATATACAACATAAAAATAAACAATGTAAAATATAACTTCCTTCTGGGTTGCTTAGAAGTGAAACACACACACTAACTATTTCCGATAAGAAATAATTTTAAGTAAAAAAAAGTTTAATAATGTGTGTAATCAATAACCTACACAAACATATATTTAGGTTAGGATAATTGTTGTCAACGCACGTGTAAATTTAATAGAAAATTATGTAAAATACTCACTTCAATTGCATATTAAATTTGGAGAATGTACAGTTTTTTACGCACATTTCAAAACTCTTCAAACACTAATTACA